TATCAGAGTAAAGAAAACTAATTTCTAGTCTAGGCTCACCTATCACTGTATGTTCAGTCTTATATGTACATTTTTCCCTCACTCGTAAAACTGTAAAATAGGGATACTATCTGTTCCATCCACTTTCCAATGTCACCACGAGTATCAAATAAGACTGTTAATTTTTATAGCATAACACTACTAACGCAAAATATATTTCATTTATTCAAAATGTAAAGGTATATGTACAACCACAAGGCCATCTTATACATCTATTTGTTCAATGTAAAAGATAAAAACATTACTATAAAAAACTATCCCCAAATGATGCCCACCGAATAATCCTTCAAAATGTGAATAAGTAACCTTTGTTTGAAAATTAGGAGATGAAAATGTTATTTCCAAATTTCTCCAAAGACCTGGCTAATAACGACAATAAAATCTTCATTAGGCCACTATGAACTTTAGAAACAATGGTTATGAATCCACTTTTATACTCAAAGATGTTCAAAAGCTTTGTAAAAAGCACGCAAATTCACTCTAAGTCCCACAAATATGGGAGTCAATAGGAATATTCAATTAACCAACTGAGCTTAATTATCTGCTCCCAAAAGATATTTTGTCAAATAGTCCAAACATCTTATAATTATGTTTCTTATATTAATTCTAAGAGGGATGATGAAAAAAGGGGACAACTCTCAAAAGGCTGAAGTTCTGTGGATCAGCTTTATAGAATCCTGTGAAGACACCCTTCATTCCTAAGCTCATTTGTATGATCGTTCTTAAATTTAAAATAACCTGACAAAATAATTACTTAGAACTAGTCTAAGTGTTTAAAACAGTAGTAATTAGAGAAACTCATGACTCCCTGACTCCCTCCTTTTCTTTTTCTCAAACAAGATCTTATTCTGTCCCCTAGGCTGAAGTACTGTGATCACAGCTCACTACCATCCCTAACTCCTAGGCTCAAGTTCCAGCCTCCTTAGTAGCTATGACCAGGCCACCATACCCAGCTAATTTTTACTTTTTGGTTTTCTTTTTTAAGGAGAGGAATGACACGTCGTCACCCAGGATAGTCTTAAACTCCTAGCTTCAGGGGATCCTCCCCCTTTATTTCCCAAAGTAAGCCACAAGTGCCTAGCCTATGTCTTGTTTTTTATTTTTAATTTTTTTTTTTGAGACAGAGTCTTAAGCTGTCACCCTGGGTGGCATCACAGCTCATGGCAACCTCAAACTGTTGGGCTTAAGTGATTCCCCTGCCTCAGCCTCCCAAGTAGCTGGGACTACAGGCAGCCACCATAACGTCCAGCCATTTTTTTTTATTTGTTTGTTTTTTGTTGTAGTTGTCACTGTTGTTTTAGCTGACCCAGGCCAGGTTCGAACCTGCCAGCCTCAGTGTATGTGGCTGGCACCCTACCCACTGAGCTACGGGTGCCACCAGTCTTGTTTTTTAATCAAATGAAATAGTTTTAAGAGTCCATAAAGGCATAAAGATCAACCTATATGTTCATAACTTTTGAGGTTGACAACTGACAATATCTGTACCTTTAAAAACATGCCTGAGCTATAAAAAACAACTTGTAATTATACCTTAAGATTTGTGCTTTTAGTAACTTTTAAACAAATTATATATATTTACAGATAGATCAGAATATTTCACCAAGAATCCTATCAAGTTATACCCTCACTAAAACCTCCCTTGATATACAATAGACAAACCATACTCCCTTTAATACACTCTAAAGGATAAAATCTATACCTCTTTAAATTGTATATGCTATGCTGCAGTTAAGTCTTATTTTAACATTAAGATTTTTAGAAGTGAAAAACAATCCTTCTCAATCCCTGCTTTCTAACTTTTTTATAGTCTATCTTCAAGTCCTTAAAACATTACTTCTGAACTAGAATTTTTCAAGGAAATCCACAAGCAGAGAAAGAAATGTACTAGTTATTCAAAAAATTTGTGGCGATGACAATAAAATCTGATCTTGAGAAAAACTTTTTTTTTTGCGAAAGAGTCTCACCATGTTGCCCTCATGGAGTCACAGCTCACAGCAACCTCAAACTCTTTGGGTTTAAGCGATTCTCCTGCCTCAGCTTCCTGAGCAGCTGGGACTATAGGCACCCACCACATGCCTGTCCATTTCCTGGTTGGAGTGTCATTGTTGTCCAGCAGGTCCAGGCCAAGCTTGAACCCGCCAGCCTCAGTGCATGTGGCTGGCACCCCACTCACCAAGCTACAGGTACTGAGTCGGAAAACAAACATTGAGTTCTACATTTATTAACCTACTTTATAAAATCCAAGTTAGAAATCACAGCATATAGGCTCTCTCATTACTGAGTCATTAGATTTTTTTAAACATCCAAAAATGAAAAAAACATAAAATTTTAAGTAGTTCAGAGAATATAGTAACCTACTGTTATGTAAGTTTTACTTATACGTATCGAATACAGATAATCCAACTCACTTGGCATTTGATTTTTGGTAATGGTTTGGAATTTGAGTTCCATGTATTTGAATTCATATTTAAAGATAAAACCTAAGAGAATTCTTCTTTGTAATAAAATCATATACATTTTTAAAAAACTGTTTCAAACACATCATCAGCAAAAAACAATGTACAACTGAAGTCAAACTATGATTAAATCTCAGTATGAAATAAGAATCACCATTTTACACTTTTAAAAGAATGGATTAAACTCAAAGATGTACTCTGAACTCCAGAATACAATATTCTAAGTCCTTATTATTCCTTCATAGTACTAAAGAATATGATAGCCAGGTACATGTATATTAAGAGATCGTACATCCAGGAATGGACTTACTAAAAAGGCACCAGAGGAGAAGAGATAACCAGCTAGAAAACAAATTAGAAAGTGAGGCCTTACTCAGCAAATGAACAGATCAGAAAAACAGGATTAATAAGCTTACAAATGGAGCTGACGAAGTATCAGCAAAGATACAAATAAAAAGGAAACTAAAAGTCAACAAGTACCTGGAGTTCACACTGGAAAGACAATGAAAAAAAAAAAAAAAGGCATAAAGAAAAAGCAAGCAGCTAAAACATCACTAGCTCTCAAGAATCAAAGCCTTTAAGAACACTTCAAGGCAAGGCCTCTATCTTCCAGGAGTATCACAATTCTGGCACAAAGTGAACGCCCAATGCTCGCTGAATGAATAAAAAATATTCTTGGTATGATCTCACTGTAAAAGAAATGACCAGGCATGGTTCAGCATAAATGGATGAAAGCATTTAGTACCTAAACTGACTTCTTTCTGGATTTGGGGATAGATAAACTGGATCATAGTCACTAAGAACCTGAGTGCACACCCACAGGGAGATGATATGTCATATCCTATTTTGCCACAATCACCAAAATTTTCAAAACATAGTACAGTATGTTGAAATGTCCACTATAGAAAAATGGTTGATAAGTAGATCATCTCATGCTATATATGACATTATGGAAAACTTACTGACAAACCCTAAAACCCTGACAGGTTAACTAATTTTGCAAGCAAAGAACTCATACTACTAATAATCAAAAAACACCAGCTATTGTTAATGATGATCAAAAATGTGGGTTTTCTGCATAAGAGGGCACAGAGCTACAGCTATACTCAGAGAACTATTTTCCATCCATCCAATAACCATCCAAGTTATTCAATTCCAATGCAATCTTCTGACCATTATTAATTTCCTGAAGCCAGTAATTATGCAGAGATCTATGTTTCCCAATATTCATTCACACTGAGTACAGCTGATTTCTATCCCAGGAGGCAAAACCCAAAAAGACCAGAAGATGTAGGTACTCATTAAAAGTAAGCAAAGTATTGAGAAGTTGCCAATGGGAGAAAAAAATCTACAAGGTACTCTGAACTTTCCTAGAAGCTTTCACCTAATATTTCATGTTCATCTCAAACACATTTACCTACTTAAACAATATAGGCTCCTTAAGTGGGAAAATACAGAGATGACTTAATTACCTCACTGAAATCGCTTTGTTCCTTAATGCACGCTTTAGTTAAGAAATCTTACTTTGGTAAACTTGGGGCAAATTAAATCTGAATATAGTTACCGAGTTAGTTTTATTTACATTTCTCAGTCTCTCAGTTCAAAAAGCTTGAGGAAAATAGCAAGTGGAAGATTTTTAGCACTATGCAGAAGAAATAAGGCTAAATTTTAAAAGTTGAATATGGCAATGAACAGGCACAGAAGTTACATTAATAAGACTTTGAAAAATATAGAAAATAGGCTCAGCGCCTGTGGCTCAAATGGCTAAGGCGCCAGCCACATACACCTAAGGTGGCCAGTTCGAAT